TGTTTCCATAATCTCATTGTAAATCAGTGATGCGGTCAGGACAAACAGCCAACTCTCTTCCACTCTGTGCACTCCTCCCTAGCATACAGTCAGAGAATGCTGGAATTGCAAGGGATGTTCAACTTTGCTAGTAGCATTGGGTGACAGCTTGATGGCTAAATGGGAAGCTAAGATATTATAACTGAAAATGAGACTTAGAAGTAATTTTGTAGTGTCGTTCACACACCGAGGGAGGTGAAGTTGTATATGTTCTGTGTTGGAAGTTCTGTGTAGGAGAGGGTGGTGGGTTATAATTTTCTTCTATTTGCCATCCAATCCTTTTATTTTATTTTAAAGAAATAGAATGCCAGTGAGTCTGGGTGGCTATCTCAATATCACACAATGTGTTAGCATTTGACCAATCATGTTAAAATGAATATTCTAACTTTTAACTATCTCCATGACCTTCATACATATCCCAAAAGAATCATGCTCTGTATTTTCTCATGGTTGATAAACAAAATTTAAAATTCTCCCACCTAATCCTTATTCCATTTATTCTGAAACAACTCCTGGTCTCCATGTCACTGTTCCAATAAACCATGATCCAAGTGTGTTTCAATTCATGAATCTCCCAAGAGATTCCTGGCCTCTCTTTGCCTTTTCATTTCCTCAGTTTTAAAATACTGCTCATGCTCATTCAGTGCTCTAATTATCACAAAGCTACTCATTCATTAAGGTTCAGCTCAAATATAACCTTCTGTTAAGCCTCACCCCAATAGCCCTAGCTGAAGTGAATCCTCTGCAGACCCATGAAAAGTTTGCACCTCTTTGCCATGTTTTTTGTTCTTCCATTGGTCTTGTGTCTTTCTTTTCCACTGGAGGCAAGCCCCATGATGATAGGCACCATGTCTTATTTATTTTTGCAAGATCCCTCTGAGCATTGCTTTTAGCCCATGTAAGACTGAAGTAAAAAGAGTGGGAGACAGAAAAATTATTTCAGAAAAGAAAACTTGTTGTTAGTTAATTTTGTCTCACCAAGTAAATGGTAAGTTCCTTGAGAGAAGAAGGTCTTTGTCTGTAACTCTAGTGCTGTTTTCATGGAGTTACAGGCTGCATAAGCTATGATAAACTTACCCAAGTCAAAAAAAGAGAAGTTAGGAGGCTGAGATAACCTGTTAACCTCTAGGAGAGCATGGGACTTCTGGAAACAAAGGTTTCACTTGGCCTTTCTGCCTCTGCCTCCTTGCTTTTTTGTCATAAGTCTAACCACATTCAAGTGTTATATTGTTGGGCACTTCCTTTTGGTAAAGTATCTTACTCTTTCTCTTCAATTTTTTGAAAACCTCATTCTTGTAACTTGACTTTCAATTTGCTTTCATTTTTATTCTGAATTTTTGGAAGGAACTGAATTAGGAAGTTTTTAAGTGAACTTATTTAAGATCTCAGAGCAGTTATAAATATATAAATATTCAGAGGTCCTAAAAGTTCTTTGCAGGTCTCTTGTCTCAACCTGATTCCTGAAAACTCAATCAGGTGATACTTATTCTGAGCAAAGATTGATGATATGTGAACAGAAATTATAATGAGAGGTTTATCAGGTGTTAAGAAATAGCTAAAAATGAGCATATTCATGTTGGCGAGGACATCAAAAGAAGGTGGAACATCATCCTAGGTAGAACAATATGGAGAATGCAGGGCCATCATAACATATTACTGGGTACTTTCAGTCAAGATGGAGGTATAGGTAAATAGGTAAACACAGCTCGCTGCCTTACACAACCACATTAAAATTACAACTAAATTACAGAACAATAATCACTCAGAACCACCGGAAATCAAACTGAATGGAAGTCCAACAACTACGGAATTAAAGAAACCACATCCATCCAGACTGGTAGGAGGGGCTGAGATGCAGAAAACAGTGATCCCACACCCATGTGTGATGGATAAAAATTTAGGAGGAATATTTTGGGAGTGAGGAGTCTCAGACCCACACCAGGCCCCCTCAGCCCAGGTTCCAGTGCCAGGAACATAAATCCCTATAACTTCTGGCTGCAAAAATCAGCTGAGATGGAGTCAATGGGAGAAACTTCTGGAGTCCCAAGCAGTTCCTCTTAAAGAATCCACACACAGATTTACTCAGACTCTCTACCTCTGACCTCTAGCACTCAGGTAGCAGCTTAAGAGGGATGAGTGGCATATGAGGAGAAACTGAAGTGTCTGGCATCAGGGCAAGAACTGGGAGATAGATTTCTCCCAGGCAGAGAGGTGGGCAGAAGCCATTGTCCCTCTTCTAGTCCTCCCCAGAGAGCCACAGAGCCCAGACGCAAGTGCCATACCTGAGACTTCATCAACCTGGCTAACATTATTTACCCTTCCCTGGAGACCCCCTGAGGCTCAGTCTCACCCAACTTACAAGCCCACGCTTTTAACCATGACTTTTCCATAGGAGTGGCTGGTCTTGACTCATGCTTCAAAACGTCCTAAATCCTCTTAAACAAGCAACAGCTGGCCTCAGTGAGCCCCCAGACTGGTAACTCTTGTTAAGTGTCCCCAGGCTCAGCACTAACAGCAGCCAGCTTTGGATCATGCTTTGGCTTTGCCTGGGAACCTCCAAGCCCAGCACAAGTAGCAGCCATCTCAGATTGCTTTATAGCTCATGCAGGTGGCTCCAGGAAGAACACAGGTGGGGGCTGACCTTGGCCTGCACCACCTGGAAAACTCCAGTCTGTACACCCAATTGACAGCTACAGACCATGTTGTAGTATTACCACCCTGTCCCTGAACAGCTGATCCTCCATGAAGGGCAGAGGTTGGTGGTCAGTGGTTACAGCCAGTTCTTGAAGCTAGCTTGCCTGTGTAAACCCCTCCCCTTGACCATCCAACAACAATCAAAGCTCAGCTACAAAAGGAGGGTGTACTCAGCCCACATGAGGGTGCACCTCAACTACCCAGCTTGTGTGATAGGGGAGGCTGTGCCACTGGACCCTAAAGGACACCTACTACATCAGGCCACACTACCAAGACAGGGAGTTATAGCAGCTCTACATAATACTTAGAAACAAACACAGGGAGACTGCTAAAATGAGGAAATAAAGAAGTATGGCCCAAATGAAAGAACAGAACAAAACCCCAGAAAAAGAACTAAATAAAATGGAGATAAACAATCTATCAGATGAAGAGTTCAAAATACTGATTATAGGGATGCTTGAGGAACTTAGGACCTCAGCAGCACAAAAGAGATCTCATCAGAAATGAATAATACACTAATTGCAATAAAGAACAATTAACAGGGAAACAACAATAGAGTGGATGAAGCTGAGAGTCAGATCAAAGATTTGGAACATAAGGAAGTAAAAAACAATCAAGCAGAGCAACAAGAAGAAAAACGAATCCAAAAAATTTAGGATAGTGCAAGCAGCCTCTGGGACAATTTCAAATATTTCAACATTGGCATTATAGGGGTTCTAGAAAGAGAGGACAAAGAGAAGAATATGGAAATTTATTTGAAAAAATAATGAAAGAAAACTTCCATAATTTGGTGAAGGAAATAGATGTGTAAGTCCAGGAAGCACAGAGAATCCCAAACTAGATGGAAGCAAAGAGGCCCACTCCAAGACACATCATAATTAAAATACCAAAAGTTAAAGAAAGCATCTTAAAAGCAGCAAGACAAAAGCAGTTAGTTACCTAAAGGGGAGTTCCAATGAGAATATCAGCTGACTTCTCAAAAGAAACTTTGCAGGTTAGAAGGGATTGTCAAGAAATATTCAAAGTCATGAAAAGCAGAAACCTATAGCCAAGATTGCTCTACCCAGCAAAGCTACCATTTAGAATTGAAGGGCTTCCCGGACAAGAAAACACTAAAGGTGTCTTCATCACCAAACCATGATTATAGGAAATGTTAAAGGGACTTATTTAAGAAAAAGATCAAAACCATGAACAATAGAATGGCAATAAATACATATCTATCAACAATTGAACCTAAAAGCAAACTAAGCAAGCCATAAGAAGAGAGATAGAATCATGGATATGGAGAGCATTTTGATGGTTGTCAGTTGGGAGGGGCATATGGAGGAATGGGTGAAGAGGTGAGGGGATTAAGAAGTATAAATTGGTAGTTACAGAATAGCCATGGGGATGTAAAGTACAGTATAGGAAATGGAACAGGCAAAGGACTTATACATGCATGACCCATGGACATGAACAAAGGTATGGGGGTTGTCTTAGGGAGTGTGGGGTGCTGGGTGGAGGTGGGAAAAGGGGGAAAATCAGGACAATTGTAATAGCATAATCAATAAAATATAAATAAAAAAATATCAGCAATTTTCAGCCTGTTTCATCTCATGGCACATATAAACTAATTACTAAAATTCTGCAGTGTACCAAAATATATATTTTTTTGCTGATATGACAAAAAATAGGTATAATTTTGATTCATTCACACCAATGGCTATTGAATGTTGGTTGTTGTCATTTTTCAAATTTGACAACCTAAGGGAAAAGAAGTCAGTGCTCCTGATTAAATAGTCAGGTATTATATGTTCAATATTATTGTTACATACCAGTATGCCTCTTGTGGCACACCAGTTGAAAATCACTGTCATACATTATTTTTGTTGTGAGGATTAAATGAGTAAAAGTACTTGTGCATTTTAAACAGTCCCTAGAACTTAATAAGTAGTTGAAAAAAAATGCTGTTATTATTTACTACCTGTTAAAGTACCTATAAAATCATAAAATAAGTATAATAAACTAAAATATAATTTTGTAATAAGAATATTTTGGAATTTTATAGTATTTTGGAACTTATGAAATTATTGAACAAATGAAGAAATGATTTTTTTTAACCAATAGCTGTTACATGCTTACAATGTGCCACACACTCTGATAGTGAGGCTTAAGTACTGGAAAATATTATTTCAAAAAATTATAAAATCATGGTAGAAACTGTTGAAGTGGCAAATATCTGGTCCTTCCAGAACAGATTTGACTTTAATTTTGTTTTCATCTTTCAGGGGAAACATGTAATGCACAAATACATATTAAGAGAGATACCATGTATAATGCTTTAGCAGGGAAATCATTTCAACTGGATTGTCCTGTGGATAAGTGTGCTAATACACACAACGTAACCTGGTGCAAGATTGAAGGAGAAAAGTGTCCACTTCTTGGGGAAACGCATCATAGAAAAATGAAGCAGAATGAAAAGAAGGATATTTTGGTTTATAGTTTGTATTTTGACCAAGCACTGGCCAGTGACAATGGATCATACCGCTGTTCTGCAAATGTTTCCTCTGGACTCCTTGAGAGCTACTCAATAACTCTATATGTGACAGGTGAGTTCTAGACATTGAGACTATCTAGTGCTTTTCTCATTATATTTCAAGGAAAAGGAGAACCCAGATTCTCAAGTAATTATGTTAGACACTGAGTGTATATAAATCATTAGAACACTACCACACCTCACAAATTGTAAAGCTGTGCACATACGTATATGTATGTTTAGGCGCAAGTGTGTTTTGGGGTAAGTGAACTAGAGAAGAGTAGAAAGTAAAGTAAAATTTATTGTTTTTGCCCTGGCTGATGTGGTGCAGTTGGTTGGAGTGTCATCCCAAAAACCAAAAGTTTAAGTGTTCAATTCCCGGTCAAGGTGCACACCAGAGGCAACCCAGATGTTTCTCTCACATCAATGTTTCTCTTCCCCTCTCTTTCTCTCCCACCCCCCTTCCTCTCCCTTTAAAATCAATAAACATATTACAAATATTGCTTTTGCCTCAAGGGAGAATAAAATTCATCTGATAAGTCCAAAAGTAGATCACAGAAATTTGGGAAAAATTACAAACTGAATACCAATAGCTGTAGACAGCTTTGTGTTCTCTGTCCTTGTTTTCTTTTTCTTTTTTTTCTTCCATTTTTTGACTTTTACTAATAATAATTCCTTGAAGGTATGTTTGTAATGCTCAGAAAATTATTTACATGTTAATACTTCCTTGAGGTTATGTTAATAGTTCATAGTTTGCACAGAGGACAATCTGCACATTAATAACCAGGCTCTCTGGTAAATTCTGAGAATATTTATGGACTTAGCTGTCTTCCCAGACCCTCTTTAGAGGACCTCTATAAACTCAAACTACAGAAGAAAGATAGGTTGATGTTAAGTTGGGCAAATCAAACTGAATGAAACATGGAAAATGAAAAAGAGGACTTTGGGACAGAAAGAAAAAATTTGATTTCTAAAAATCCCATAGCTAATAACATAATCACTGGTGAAAGACTGAGTTTTTCCCCCAAGAAGAGGAACAAGACAAGAATACATGCTTTTGCCACTTCTATTCAACATTGAACTGGAACTTCTAACCATAACAATTGGCAAGAAAAAGTAAATAAAAACATCAAAATTGTAAAGGAAAAAGTAAAAATATTTATTCACAGATGACATAATCTTACACAGAGAAAATCCTTTAAAGTCCTCAAAAACTACTAGAGCTAATAAATAAGGTCAACAAGTTGTATGCTCAACAAAAAAAGCAGTAGTATTTCTATGCATGAGTGATGAACTAGCAACCTGAAAAAGAAATTAAGGAAAAAACTGCATTTAGAATAACATCAAAATGATAAAACACTCGGGAATAAATTTAACCCAGAAGGTGCAAGACTTAGATACTGAATAAAATGTAGCTGAAAGAAATTAAAGATGGAAATGAATAGAAAAACACCTTATGTTCATGGACTGGGAGATTCAATATTTTTAAGATGGCAATAGTTCCCAAAGTGATCTATAGATTCAATGAGATCCCCATCAAAATCCCAACAATATTTATTTGCAGAAATGTAAAAGCTGATTTAAAAGTTGTAGAGAATTGCAATGAGCCCAGAATGGCCAAAATAATCTTGAGAAAGAAGAATCATGTTGGAACACTCAACCCTTCCCTATTTCAAAACTTATTACAAAACTACAGTAATTAAAACTGTGGCACTGACATAAGGATGACTATATAGATCATGGAATAGAACTGAGAATCCAGGATAATCCATACATTCTTGGACAGTTGATTTTTGACAAGAATGCCAAGGCCATTCAATAGGAAATAATACTTTTTTTCAATATTAAAATACGAAAGAATAATTTGGAGATCTACCTCACACAGTATACAAAAAAGTAAGAATGGATCTGATATTTAAACATAAGATCTAAAACTATAAAATCTGTATTTATATAACTATGATACTATTATTTTTTAGAAGACAACATAAGAACTAATCTTCACAATCTTGAATTTGTCAATGGTTTCTTGGAAAGATATCAGAAGCATAAGCAACAAAAGAAAAAATAGATAACTTGTACTTGACCAAAATTAAAAACTTTTCTGCATCAAACAACACTATCAGAGAGTGAAAAGACAACATACAGAATGTGAGAAAGTGTTTGCAAATCATATAACAATAAGGGACCTATGCCCAGAATATATACAGAATTTGTAAAACTTAACAAATAAAAAAGCAATCAATGAAAATATGGGCAAAGAATTTGAATACATTTTATTCATAGAAGATATGTAAATAGCCAATAAGCACACACAAAAAAATGCTCAATGTCAGTAGTCATCAGGGAATTGCAAATAAAAAATATAATGCTACCACTCTATAGCTACCAGGATGACTAGAATTTTTTTTTAAAGATAAAGAAAAATAAGTTCTGGCAAGGATATGGACAAATCAAAACCCTATACATTGCCAGTGGCAATATAAAATAGAGCAGCAGCTTTAAAAAAAAGTCCAACAGTTCTTCAAAAGTTTAAACATAGTTGCCACAGATCCAACAATTCCATTCTTAGGTAAATACCCAAATGAAATGGAAATGTATGTCCACAAAAAACTTGTACATGAATATTGATAGCAGCACTATTCACAACAACCAAAAAATGGAAACAACCCAAATGTTCATCAACTGATAAGCAGATAAAGGAAATGTGGTAAATCATATAATGGAATATTATTTGACCATAAAAAGAATGACATACTAATACATTCTACAACATAGATGAGCCTCAAAAACATTATGTTAAGTAAAAGAAACCAGATACAAAAGATTACATATTGTATGATTCTGTTCATATAAACTACCCAGAATAGGTAAATCATGATTGCTGGTTTCCACGGAGGGGGAGAAAGGGAGAATGGGGAGTGACAAATTAATGAGGTCACAGTTTCTTTTTGGGGTGATGAAAATATTCTAACCTTGATAATGGTGATGATTGCACAACACTGTAAATATATTAAAAGCCACTGAACTGTGTGCTTTAAATGATTAAAATAGTAATTTTTATGTTATCACATAAAATATATTTGGATCAAAGAAGATCATGCTTTAATTATAAAAAAATGAGATGAGTTTCTTTTGTGGTGATAAAGTGACCTTGAAGGTCATTGCAAAAGGGAAATTTTAAAAAGGTATGGTACAGTGATAGCATGTCCAAAATCTACATGTAGTCTCATACAGTTACTTCTACGGACGCCATTCGCTTAACTGCTTAGATTTTGTGTGTGTGTGTGTTTTTAGTTAATTTGTTACTTTATATGCACACTTTGGAGATGCTCTTTAAATTCCCTTAAAGCAGCCCAATGAAGGAATCCACTTAAATTCCATCAAAATTTTTAAATCACTTCTAAATTTTTTAAAGCAGGCCTATGAAAGAATGCACAATATACTAATGCTAGCTGCAACCTTCTGCTATGAAGCACAGAATTGTAGAATACATTTCTGGCAGAGTGAGATTTGGGGTCAAACCCACTGCTCTTTACTTATGACCATCCATGCACTGGTTTATAAACCTTTTAGAGTCTGTGTCTCAAATATCTTTGCTTCTCTAAAGAGAACAGTGTCTGGCACATAATGGGTGCTCAATAAAGATTTCTTTTAAATGAATTAAATAACATAATATATGCTAAGTGAAAAAATTGCCTTTAACTACCTGGAGAGGCCTGTATTGAGGATGTTTGGAAAGAATGCTTCCTGGAAAGAATTGTGCTATTAATTCCCTTAATGAGATGTTATGAACTACTGAACTTTTAAAGAAGTAATACATTTTTAACTAGCAAAATAAATATTAAAAATAAGCAAAATTTGTAAAAATGTTACTTTCAGGCCAATATTAATTATACTATTAAATATAAAATAATTAACTACTAGATAATTTGTATTATGTATAACAAAATTCAGTGTGGTGGCATTGAGTCCACCTTCCTTGGAAGAGAGCCTTCTTGTGTAATTTAGTCTTACCTTGTGGGGACCAATCCACTTGTGTTCGAGCGAGGGATTTAGCCAAGTCTCTATCTCAAATTTGAGCCATTCCTTGACCACTCCAGATGGTTGCACAGTTGGTAAAGTGCTTGTTCTAAGGAATCAAGTTGAGGCTAAAATAAGGATTAATACGTGTTTCCCTTGTGGAAGAGGGAGCCTAACTTCAGAGGAAAGGGAGGTGGCAGTCCTCTAAAACCCTGTGCCCTGAAGGGATGTGCTTATTAGGCCCAGACTGGGGCAAAGAGCATGAAGGATGATGAGGTCAGAAGGAAAGCCCAAGAGCTAAGGTAAAGACATTAGGGGCCTTTTTAATTCTCTTTGAAGATTTCTGCTTTCCTAATTTCCTCCTTCTTCTCTTATCATTCCATTAATTAATACTCCTGACACCCACTCGGAATTCCCCAGGACTTTTCTTTGGCCTTTTGCTCTTGTCTGTCAACAACCTCCCACTCTGCGAAGTGTTTCCCGCTACAGCTTCTATGATCATCTCAGACCTTCATTATCTTCCTTCTCAATGATTTCAATTAATGTATGGGCTCCTTGTCTTTAGTGTTTCCCCATTTTTGTCCTTTTCAGCCAAAAATCTTCCTGATACACTTAGTTTTTGTAAAAAACTTCTTTCATAATGCCACTCTTTTACTGACTCCCCTGCAGTGCATCCTCAGCCCTTACAATATGGGGCTCAAGTTTGTTAACCAGCATTCAAGGCCTTCCACAGTCCATCCAGTCCACTATGAGTGTTTTTGCTTTTGCTTAATCCCTTCATCTTGTTCATCCAGCAGTCCCCCTCCCCTCTGACGGCTGTCAGTCTGTTTTCTGTATCTATGAGTCTGTTTGTATAGTTTATTTTGTTCTTTAGATTCCATATGTGAGTGAAATCACATGGTATTTGTCTTTCTCTGACTAACTTATTTCATGTAGCATAATACTCTCCAGGTTTATCCATATGGTTGCAAAAGGTAAGATTTCTTTCTTTTTTTACAGCTGAGTAGTGATCCCTTTTGTAAATTTACCACAGCTTTTTATCCACTCATCTACTGAAGGACTCTGGGTTGTTTCTAAAGTTTGGCTATTGTAAATAATGCTGCAATGAAGATGGGGTGCATATATTCTTTTGAATTAGTGTTTTCTGTGTGTTTTTTTATAAAGACCCAGAAGTGGAATTGCTGGGCCATAATGCAGTTCGATTTTAATTTTTTGAGGTAACCCCACACTGCTTTCCACAGTGGCTGTCCCAGTCGACATTCCCACCAACAGTGTACGAGGGTTTCCTTTTCTCTACAGCCTCACCAGCACTTGTTTGTTGATTTATTGATTCTCATTTGCTTTTAATGTTTACATTAAGAACTGGTTTATGTAAGAACAGGAGTGTGATAAAGTAAGGGCTTGCACACTTCTGGGAAAGCAATGGTCTTCCAGAATGAACAAACGCACTTTGCAGAACAATGTCTCAGAGGAAAAGTTGACAGGGCTGAGGAATAGTCATTGGAACATACAATGGCCTGCAACTCCATTCTCCTCAGTTTGCGCTTGGTCAGTTTCTGATTAAGAATTTCGCAAAGACAAGTGGCCATTGTCATAGCAGGAATGCAAGGGTCATATGAGTAAGCAGGAAATGAGACACAATCTTTGTCTCAGAGTGAGTGCACAGCACATCATCAAAAGCATTCTTTCTTTGTGGCCTTCCATACTCACTTGGAATGCCTGCTGAATGTGCATATTGTTATTCTTGGTGCCAGAAGATGCCATATAAGCTGTATTGTGTCCTTATACTTAAGGAAAGGGAAGAGGGAATGAAAGCAGGCAGATGAAGGTTGTGTTGCATTTATTCAGTCTTTCTTTGATCCTCGAAATAAACCCAAAAATTTACTTGATGTCCATGATCTCAAGGCTATCTACAGGTTATACATACTGCCTTTTGCTGGATTACTGAATTGGCAGTGTGCAAGCGCAGGTGTCATCTCACATACTAGCTCTGGTTTTAGACATACTTGATATACACCTGCATTGTTTTCAGAACAAAATTCAATACTTACCTTGCTTTTTTTTAAATTTCAGAACAAACTCAAAATAGTTCAGAACATCCTCTAATAAGTAAGTATCAGTCCAGCTAAATAATATTAAGGAAACCAGGTTGTTTGATACTTGGAGAAATGATATAATTTGGATCTTCTTAACTGAGTGGATTTATTTGTGTTAGGTTATCTGTTGTGAGAACCTTAGTTTTTATTCCTGCCCACACTCCTCCCCCAGACAGCTGTGTCTGTCACCCTTGGCAATGACTTAGCTGCTCCCTCAACCTAAACAGCAGCTGCTGCATGAATAATGCCACACTTGTTACCACTCTGAATTTCCAAACAACTTTATACCCCATTCCAGTAGCTCCTGGGCAACCTATACCCTGAAACTAAGCATATGGGGAAGTTAACATGTAATTATGTTGATACATTTAGAAAGAAAGCTTTCTTGCATAAAAAAAAATGACACAAGTACAAAATTAAAGATGTGTGATGTATTCTGATATTTCCTGTTCATTATGTTTTATTTTTTAATGTAATTTGTAATCTATTAAGTTAGTTCATGACCCACAGTAAGCTGCAGCCAGTCATGGACAAATAAGGCCTTAATGCATGTTAACATTGGTCAAAAGTTATGAGCACCAGCTGTGTGCCCAGCAAACCATCTTTAGAAATATCAAAGATATCTGGAGATACCAAAAGTATTTAGTATTTGGAGATACTTAAGAGTTATAAGATAATGATAAGGCATTGTGTTAAAGGAACTTAAATTGAGTTCATTAAAAGATGTTGGCTTGAGTCCCAAGTGCCACTCAGTAGCTTGGGCAAGTCTTAAAGCAATAATACTCTTCTCAAGTCACAGGACTAGATAAAAATAATGGCTTCCTTACTTCTCTGAAGTGATAAATGAAAGTTAAATAAGACAATGTAAATGACAGGCGGTGATGAAGTATTTTTCCTAGAACTTTATGGATGTTGTTTTACTAAGGATGAACCATAGCATAAAAAAAAAAAAATTGTGCAATAAAGCAAGAAGTGGTGAGAGTACTGATGCTTGGGTTCTCGGGGAAGTCTTACTGGACAGGAAAGGGAGGAGTCTTCTTCATTCAAGTTCTAACAATGCAGCGTGTGTTGCCAATCTTAATATATTTCATATTTCCTAACTGTCTTTAGCATTAACATTTCAGATGTAACCAGTACTTCAGAACCACCTTCCAAAAACGAGGTAGACAATGGACAATTGATCCTTTACAGTTTGGTTCCTTTGGGAGGATTGCCTCTGGTCATTACCTGTTTCTACCTGTTCTGCTGCCTGAGAAGGCACCGAGGTGGGTTCCATCTTCCCTCTACTGCTCTGTGCCACACATTATGGAGTTCATTTACCAGGACTGGTATGTTTTTAGTTAGTTCTTATTGTTTTCTTTTCCAATATTTTGCAATAAACCATGGGTAATGATTTTCTGGGGAAAAACTCATCCTTCCACCAAAAACCCAAAATGGATTAATTCAGGTTCTCCCTAGTCTCAGGGAGACCTGCCTTCCACAACACAGTGTTCTAGTCAAGGGTGGTGGTAAGGAGGGGACTTTGCTGGAATTCACTCATTCTACTTAACGTCAGGCTTTGGCTTGTGTGAGAAGCTCTTCTAAATTTTCAAAGGGTTGAAAGCCAGGTTGAAATAATCTCTCGCGTGTCTGATTTCAGTTAGTTTGTCACATTCCCTTTTTCACAGCCACACCACACCACTCCAGTCACATGTACACTTGCCTCAATGAAGGTCCGTGGTCCTCAGAGGGAATTTGTATGTTTGCACTTTCTGTTGCCATTACAAACACATGCTCAGACTGAACCCTCACCCAACAATAATAATAAAAACTGTGGGTTTTGCATGAAAGAGGAAAACAATTCTTTTCTGCTTTTTAGAGAATTCCCATAATGTCATGAGGGAACACTTAAACACGTAAGAGACAGATGTACGTAGAATTCTAATCTAACTCTGGTCTGAACCACTTCCGTTCTCCTTCTCCTTCTTTTTTCCTCTCTGCCATCTCCTCCCATCTGTTTTCTTACAACAACAACCACAGTGTAGCCATAGGAATTAAGCTAGACCAAGAAACTCTTATTTCTGCCATAAGAACTCTTTGTCTGGACAAAAGTGCTTGTGGTGCTTTGTGGGGAGAACTTCTGGAGCCCAGAACCTCCTCAGAATCCTCAGGGAATCTTCTGATCTTCTGTAACCCCAACTCCACATCCGCAATTCCAAGGATCTTTCTACGGTCCTTCTCGAAGTTTCACCACCTACTCTGGGGCTGTTGGAACTTCTCTTAGAACTTCAGGAAGAAAATCAGAGATAAATCCTTTTATTTATCACGTCCTAAGGGAACAGGGCAGTAGAAATATGCTGGAGGGCTCTCTGGGGTGAGGAGTGAAGACAATGGGGCAGCATGAATTCACAAAATCTGAGTTATATGTGCCATGCTAGTCCCAACAAATAAGCAAGCCAAACTAATAATAATCCTCTCAGTGGTTTGCAAGTGGGTGGACACCAGTGGAGGGGCATTCTACCTTTGCTCTAGCAACAGAGTTTCAATTTAGTGATCTGATTCCAGGACCCATGTTCTTACCAAAACCCTACTTTACAGGGACTTGGGGAAGAATTTGTGTTGTCCTTTACTCATTTTGGTTTCTTATTTTCATTTTTGAATTCCAGGGGAACAAAAGAAGCCTTCTGATACAGCAGAAAGGAGAATTAGTCTGGTATGTTCCCTGTGTCTGTCAAAACAAATGCAATCTATGTTATTTTAAATTGGAGTCTGTATTACTTACCATGTGCCAGTCACTGTTCTAAGTGCTATACATGTTGACTTACTTTTAAAATGTGTTTATTTTACATCCACCTTCATTTGCAGCAGAGAGTCTTCAGGATTAATGAGTTTCAAAATAAGTAGGTGTTTTGGAAGAGCAGGTGTGGCAGTGTAGGCTCAAAGCAGAAAAGTCTGAGACTGAACTATAAACCTTGGCCCTACTCATGGCCTGTTATAGGACTTCAGGCTATTCACTTATTTTCACAAAATTAATTCATAAGGTAGTGAAAGAATGAACCATAAATGACCTCATTAAATGAGTTATGATTTCTTCATAAATCATATCAGCAGATGAAGTGCGACCGCAGACTGAGCTACCATGCAAAAGTCTCTCATGATGTGTGTGGGCTCATCAAGGAAGAGACCTTCCAGACAAAGAAAGGATGTTTTGGAGGCAGTGCCAAATTTTTCTACAAGTTCTTGGAATATAAGCTCAGGCCTTTCTTTTGGGTTCAGCATTGTGTAAATATTGGGACTCAAAAGAGAAAGCAAGATGAGGTAATATATTTCTGAAAAAAATTTATGAAGTTCCTTAATTACAATCAAATACTATAGTCGTGGATGAGGTACTGCAAAGGAACTTGATGTGTGTGTGTGTGTGTGTGTGTGTGTGCAGGTGTGTTTCAGTAAACCAGAGTAGAGATAAAGATGCAGTAAACTTCTTGGAAGTTCCAAAAATGTCAGAGGCAGATATACTGAATAACTACACATATAATATTAAATGGCACTCAGCATTCCCCACCAGTTACCTAATTTTAAATTAAACCAAATACATTTAACTTAAACAACTTGTATTAAGTCTTTAGTGAGCATCAGTGGATATCATTGTGGTGGGTGCTAAAGTTTTGTTTCCTAGAGTAGGGAAATTTTAAAAAATATTATCTCCTTTCCCCCGTTAGTGAACAACAAAAACAATAACAACAAACTGCATTCTGTTACAATCAGGCCTGAGAATTATGAAATCTTTAAAACAATAATCTAATTTATCGTACAAGTAAAGCTCAGCCTGGTCAAAATGCAGTCATATTTCTTCCTGCATAAGCCGGACAAATTATGATGTAAACTTGAATTCAAGAGGGGGTTTTCTGTATGTGCAATTATTTCCAAATTTTGCTTTAAGTTGTTCCTGTCTTTCACTGGAATTCACAGTTTTGCCCCATTTGAGCAGTGAAACATTTCAAAAAGTTATAGAAAAGATGCCACATTAGATCTTTGAGGTTGACTGAAAGTTTCCTAAGAAGGAATTTGTATGGGAACCACCAAATAGAAACCCAAGATAGAAAAGGGAACTGGTAAAAACATGGTAGATACATGTAAAAGCCAAAGCTCTCATTTTTAAAAGTGAATTGTAAACCAGAAGGGTCCATACAAGTGCAAGGCAGGAGAGCTGCTTGGGTGTTTACCTGCCCACCTGCCACATCTCCACCTGCCACAGGCGGGTGCACCAGCCTTGTGGCACCCACCCACTTTGATGAGGCACCCACAGGATAAGTTCAGCCACAGAGCACCAAGCTTTCCTTTTCCCCATTCACCTTAACAGTTCTCCATGGAAATGAGCCATCTTTTGGGAAGAAGCCAGGTAAGGGGATTGACAGACACAGACTGAAAAATATGACAGAGACCTTGTTGACATATCAAAAATTTGTGACTATTTATTAGGTAAAATGACAGTCTTCTTCGGTGCTCCTCCAGAGACTTTAGCCAGGCTCGTCTGAGGGTCAGGTGGAACACTTTCCGTCTGAGCCAAGAGACAGGGAAGTTTAAAGCAATCTCTAACTCTCTCAGTCATCTAGCCTTAGGGTTATATTCAGGGAAGACACCTCCTCAGAGGGGCGCAGTGTACTCAGCAGTTAGTACCTAGCCCCTCAGGATAGTCCCAGACATGTCTGTGTGGGAGAACTCTGCTCAGGAGAAGTGGATGCACCACCGTACACATCACAGTGAGGACAACCAAAGGTCAGATGGGGCATGTAGGCTCTCAAAGGCTGTGGACCTGCTATCTTAAAGCAGGTAGACCAAACTTCAAAAACATAACTTGGCAAAATTGGAATTAAAAAAATTGAAATAACACATCATCTTCATTTTTACCAGTTGAGTCCCCTTGTATAGCTAGGAATGACAAACAAAGAACTGAAAAGAGTGAAAAATGTCAGGACCCATTTTACCCTCAGTTTCCATAATTTCACCTCTTTTACAGAAGTTTTAAAATATCTGACTCTATTTGGAAGTGTAAGAATTTTCTCATGATGGAAATAACTATTGAAATATTTTAAAAACTTTTTCTAAATTTTACCACCCCCAAACAAGACAGAAATTTTCCAATTCCAGGTCTCAAATCATAATAATATATCTTTGATACGTCATAATATTTTTTTCTGCCCCCTTAGAGAGTATCTGTTCTGCTTTATCTTTAATTGTTTTACTCTAAACTGTGTTAATATTATCCATTATGTTGTAGACTACCAGAAGTTCTTGTGGAATATTTGTGCTTTTCTCATAAATTTGGGCAGTGCTTTTCATTTTGAAGAGGAATTTAAGTGTTCTATGACCTCAAAAGTGACTAATAATAAAACACAAAGTAATTATTTTGGAGGAACATAGTGGTCCTTAAACCTTTCATCCTCTAATAAGTGAAAATCTGCTAAGAAAAAAAAAAGATGTCAATGGCATATGTGAAGAAAAGTCGATTCTCTCCATGTATAAGGACTCAATTTAGCCTGCACTCATAGTTTGCTAATAAATATGCATAATCACATCTTTAAATGATAATTAAAGCAATTTTTTTCTCTTACAGGTTGATGTTCCTCAGCCCTGTGGAAGTGAGCAAACTAAAAAGAGCACAAGGCAAAATTCCCAAAACCTGCCTTTAGAAACTGAAGTTTATGATAATGACCCCTGGTGTGGGGTTCAGGAGGAGCCTGGAGTTTATTCTATCCAATGTCTGGAGGAAAACAGACAGGGCGTTGTGTATGCTTCACTGAACCACTCCGTCATTGAAATGAACCAAAGACAGGCAAGAAACATGAAAGAGGCACCTACAGAATATGCAGCCATATGTGTGAGGAGTTAAATCCAGCCCTGATCTCTCATCAGTGATCACTGAATGATCAGCACATCGATACCATTATCTGAGACCCACAGAATGTGAATAATATTCCTTGACCTGAGAAGTTTCACATTAAGGAGATTCATGTTGGTGCTTGAGTCTTAAGGGTCCACAGGACAAATGACTGAAATTTCTCCCAGAAAATTCTTTTGGAGCATTTTATATTACTCCCACAAATAACAAAATCTCTCAAAAACTGAGTGATATCATGAATAGCAGTATAGTAGAACATTTAAACTTAGCTACATTTTAACCAACATATGAAGTTAATATTTTCTTTGGAGATGTCAGAAAGACATGTAGGGAAGAGAGATATGTGTTGTCTGGATTAGTTCACTACACTCTTGAAAAAGAATGAACCAATTTAACCAACTAGCCATAAGTATAGTAATAAAAGTATGTTTGTTTCCAGTTCATCTTTGATAATAAAAATCTGTCAATCTAATGTTGGGGCTTCTTAAAAGTAAAGAGGAATAATTTAGACTTAACAACATACAAAAAGAATGGAAAGAATAAATCATGCAATAAAGATGTGGAATATACCAACTAGATGTGTGTAGAAGTTCCCCATAACTGAGAAACAAATGTTTATACGATTGTAAAGCAAATATCTGTGGTACTAGAGTAATTAATGTATGATGCATCTATAAACAACATGGTGACTCAGTGTTTGGGTTGCATAGACTAATGCATATGGATTGACATAATACTGCTGAATTAATATACTTGTGGGTGTCTGAATAAACATAAAATTCAGTGAGAATAGTTATCATCAGGCAGCTGCATATTGGTGTCTTAGACTGCTTTATGGTTGACCTGATATCAAATTAAAAGCACAATTGATAGAATGGAGAAAAGTCCAGAATATTTAGTTGGCCAGTATGTGTCAATGCAATTTCATTCACCATATCTGCATCTTGTGGTTCTCTTTACTAAGGAGTCAGGGCAAAACATACATAGTGAAGTAGTGCAATTTGATAACCATTTGTTCTAAAATATTGAGGTTGCAGCTACTTTAAAGTATAGCAAGAAGATATGATTTCAGTTTTCCAGAGTACTTGAGTCTATTTCAAAAATAACCTGCAACTTTATTCAACAGCTTGAGGCTATTAGGCTTGTCAGGTGCTGCTACTAAGTAATGCAACAGATCTTACACAACTTGGATAGCAGAGGTTAGAATCCATTTTAGCAAATACATGAGCTGTTGCACAAATGAATGTGAAGGGGGTGTGTGTGTGTGTGTGTGTGTGTGTGTGTGTGTGTGTTTTAGCATCTGGAAGGAAGGGTGGGGACTTACAGAAATGATAAAAGAGAAACTAACAAAATTGACATACCATTTCAGTTTGCTAAAGAAACCCGAAATACCAGAGCAAAAGAGTCATTTAAAAAATTTATGAAAATAATGTATGAAATTATGGGGATAGGAGTATGACATCCCATAACAGCTTTTGTCCCCAAAAAACAAAACATATTTTGTGGCTGAACATTTCTTATGTAACACTGACATTAAGATTCTGACCCCCAGATCGGGGTAGCGGGTATTGTTTTAGAGTCATTATTATTTATCCAGTATGATATCATTACTCCTATAATGTCAAGCAACCAATTTTAGGTAGTCTTTTTTCTAGACACACTGCAGTTACAGAAAACTTATATACAAGAGATAAATAAACTACCCGTGGTATTCTTAAAAATAGAAACAGGAAGTATGGGAGGATACATGTTGCTGTCCTTATCAGATAAATATTCAAAGCTGAATAGTTCCTTCAAAATTAATTTAAATATATATATATATTTCTGTTTATTGTTGAAAATATTCTTAGCATGTATGACCATAATGTTGATAATGATTTCACCTCCGTTAATGATTTATACTTATATTTGTATGATGCTTCCAAAATCACAAATCATTTATGTTTTTGTTTCCTCTTAATAAGAGTTATCAGAGTTATATATATTTCACAAATAAATGTATGTCTATATTATTTGCATGGCTTATTTCATTAATAAAATATGAGAAAAAGATTACATAGATAATCTAATGATTTTCCATGAATTTTAAGCTTGTTTATCTCAATAAGAAGAGAAAGGTATTAAAACTTATTTGGAATCAATTTGGTATTGACTTTTGTACCAAAAAAGTGCATGGACATAAAATATAAGTGATTTTCAAACTTTATGGCACATAAAAACAACTTGAAAAACTTGCTAAATTGCGGATTACCAACTCTCAGCACTCTGAAATTGTGAGTGAGGAGATTCAGCATATGGCTCTATAGTTGTCACCATTAAAAGACGCCCCAGATAATCTGAATATAGGTTTCTCAGTGCAGAGGCTCGTGTGGTATGGACACGAAACAAGAGCAAGATGCCGGTGATGCAGAACCCTATCGAGAGCAGTGGCTCCAATAAAAGGGTTTTTGGAGCGAAGAGCATGAAGAGCCTCAGAAGGGGATCCCTGTTGCTCAGTACTGCTCATCCTCTCCCATTAGCACTTAACTGTGGAGGATGGTCCTGGCTGCCAGAGGAGGTGGGGCACTGCTGGCGCATTTTCCTCGAGACTTGGGTTGGCCCTCCAGACAACTGACGGTCCTTACACCCAAATACTTTTTTAAAAAAGCATATATTATATTTTGTTTTACAAAATATACACACACACATATATATATATATACACACACACACAGACACACACACGTGTGTCTGTGTGTGTGTATACTGTTTTGTCCACCACTAAACCCTTTCTAGGTCCCAGAATTGATCCTCTGGCCTGATCATATCTGTCAATCTGTAGATACATACTTTTTTAAAAAGCAGTTTTAGGTTCAGCAAAGCTGCACAGAAAATACATAGACTTTCCATATACCCTCTGCCCCTACACATACACAGCTTCCTCCATCGTCAACATCCTGGGCCACAGTGATACATTTGTTACAATCAGTGAACCAACATTGACACATCATTGTAAACCCAAGTCCATAGTTTACACTAAGATGAACTCTTGCTGTATTCTATTGGTTTTGACAAATGTATGGGAGATATATCCTTTATTATAATAACATAGAGAATGTTTCGCTGCTCTAAAAATCTTCTGTACTCCACGTATTGTTCATCCTTTCCTCCCTGGAAACACTGGGCAACCATTGATCCTTTTGCTGTCTCCATAGTTTTGCCTTTTCCAAAATGTCATGTAGATGGAAAACCATACTGTATGTAGTCTTTTAAAATCATTTTTAGCACTGAAAAATATTCCATTGTCTGGATGTGCTATAGTTTATATATCCAGTCACCTATTGAAGCACATCTTGGTTGTTTCCAAATGTTGGCAATTGTAAATAAAGCTGTTATAGATATCTGTGTGCAGGTTTTTGTATAGACATACTACCAAGAAAATACCAAGAAAAGTGATTGTTGGATTGTGTGATAAGAGAATGTTTAACGTTGTAAGAAACTACTAAACTGCCTTCCAAAGTGGCTGCATCATTTTACTCTCCCATCAGCAATAAATGAAGGTTTCTGTTGCTCCATATCTTTAACCAGCATTTGATGTCAGTGTTTCAGTTTTTGTCCATTCTAATAAGTGGTTTCTCATTGTCTTAATTTGAAATTTCTTAATGATATATGTTTTTGACACCGTCTCATGTTTATTAGACATCTTTAATCTGTATATATACTTGGTGAGGTATCTGTTAAGATCTTTGGCCTAATTTTTAAACTGGTTGTTTGTTTTTGTCTGGTTGAGTTTTAAGAGTTCTTGGTATAGTTTGGATATCAATCCTTTATCAGATATATATTTTGCAAATATTTTCTCCCAGCCTATGGCTTCTCTTCTCATTCTGTTAATGATCATATCGGTTATAGTACTTATTTGTTATTGTGTTGGCTGCCACATTAGACTGTGGGGTTCTTATGGCCAGCAGTATGTTACATTCCTCATTAGTTTCTTAGCCCACTGCTTTGCATGTAGTAAAATTAAATAATTTTTAGAGAATGAACAAGTTTGTGAAGTGAGTCTTCCAGTCCAGAGCTACTCAAAGGATGGCCCTCAAAACAGTAGCACCAGCATCCTCTGGCAGTTTTTAGAAAGGTAGAATTTCAGGCATCTACTAAATAAAAATCTGCATTTTCACAAGATCTCCTGAGTGATTCGTAAGCTGTGATCCACAGAGCCTTTAAGAACCCACACCTCCCCAGGGGGAGTTAGGAGTTGCAGGAAGCCAAATCACTCATTTGGAAAGTTCTATTTTAAGCAGAAACAGGAAGGGTTTCACAACCCAGCTCAGAAAGTAAAAATAGTAAGAAAGAAAACAGTACTAATTCACAAAATGTTTGTACTGAAACTGAGAAAATAGGGACTGAAAGTCCCGTGTTGGAAATCACGATACAGGCTCAAAAGCAAGTTCTGGGCACTGATCTTTAAACTGGGGTTGAAGTTAGGGGAAATATTTCAGGGGAAGCACTTCAACTGCAAACAATCTAAGACCACGTACTACACACCTACCATTTTGCAAAGGTCTGAAGTAACATGACTGATTAAGATTCCATCCCAGCGCATCACTGCTTACAGTACAGTTGAAGAGGTAGAAACTAAGCAAAAATCACAATCTGATAGTAGTGTTTTATCATGGAGATAGGTACAAAGTATTATGGAAACACCATAACTGTATGTCTTTGCCTGTAAGGACCATGTTGCATTTAATTAATTAGAATTTGTGGTCCTAAGACACCTTAAAAATCACATTACTAGTAGATATAACATATCTACACACATACACACAGACATGTAAATATAAATTTATATATACATATCATCTTAGTTAAAAATAAAAACTAAAATTAATTTAATTTAATTATTCATTAATTTATTTCAAATGGCTACTTCTTGGTGAAAGAAAAGAACAGTGTGGAAAAGTCAAGATGGAAGTGAGACTTTGGAGAATGTATCTTGGTATAGCGTTTTAACT